AGAAAAACAGATCAGAGTAAAGGAATAAGGGAGAGAATGTAAAATAGGTTTTGCTATTTTATACTAAAACAGTATAAGGAAAGAAAATTATAGCCTATACTCAATCTAAATATAAAGATTAGCATACCGAATTCAACAGTATGTAAAAAAGACAATACAATCATACAATCATAAACCTGCCCAGGGGCTCGAACCGGCTGATAGCGCAGGGGAACCCTGTGCGCATCGCCCGCCCCAGTACGGCCGCTCCCTCAGCCGAGGTCCCCCAGCCCCTCCAGCTGCCTCGGGCCGAGCTGGTCACACGTGGGTCTGCGCCCGGCCAGGCCTGGCCCCGCGGCCACCTCAACTCCCGCCTCTCCCCCACTCCGAGGAAGCCGCTCGCCGCCCGCTCGCAGCGCTGCCTCACCGTGACTCCCGGCCCATGCTTCGGGCCACAGGAAAGCGGCGCCCTTCGGGACGACCCGCCGGACGACCGGACAAAGGAGGAGGCCGCGCAGCACTCCGCTCGCCGGGCGAGAAGCGGCACTAAGCGGTGGCAGCAGCAGCTACGGCAGTGGAAGCCATCCGAGCGCCGCCAACGACAACAGGACGTCCTGGCGCCGGCGGCAGGAGGAAGGAAAAGGCGCGGCGGAAGCGGCTGCGTCTTCACAGCGCCCCCTCTCGGCTGGAGGTCGCAGAGCGCCGACCGCGCGGGAAGAAGATGCCTTGGCTGGGTTTTTACTGCACAGCGGTGGAAAGCCCGGTGCGGACCCGGGGGAGTCTTTCCAGCGAGGGCCACCGAGGTGCCTAAAGCATCCCCAAGCTGTCCAAGGACTTATCCTGACGTCCGCCTTAACCTTGTTAAGTGACGCTGCAAACATCTCCGTTCACTCTCATTCATTTATACATTCATTCATTTGTAGTATTTGTTGTTATGTATCCGGCATTTGCTAAATCCCAGGGAGTTTACAATCTAGTGGGGGGCACAGGCATTACTAAAAAACACAAGCAGATGTAATACAACAAGAAAGATTCTACCATAGGAGAGGGGTTCAGAAAATGAGCTCCCTGAGGAAGTGTTGAGGGGCGGTTTGAAGACTGAGTGAGGAGTCAAATTGGCGGAGCAGTGGACGCAAAGCAAGATTATAATGCTTCTTAATATTGCCTGTACTTGAAAGCTTACAGAAAAATAAGGGTGCGTGCCCCCGGGCGTGGCTCAGCAGTTGAGCATCGACCTAGGATCCAGGCGATCGGGGTTCGATTCCCGGTTAGGGCATATGCCCGGGTTGCAGGCTCGATCCCCAGTGAGGGGCGTGCAGGAGGCAGCCGATCAATGACCCTCATCATTGACGTATCTCTCTCTCTTTCTCTTTCTCTCTCCCTCTCCCTCTCTCGGAAGTCAATAAAGATATATTTTAAATAAATAAAAATAAGGATGTGTGTTCCAATATTCTGATTGCATTGGTCTAGAGCACTTCCTGTGCATTAGGAATTTTCAAGTTTCCCAAACGATTATGAAGTACAGTCAAGGTTGAGAAGACTTGGCCAGTGGGAGGCACACCCCATATGTTGGGTTGTTCTAGCAGAAAGTTGTAATGGAGCTGGGGAGTGGCTCTCATATTTACTTACCTCTCTACTGTTATTTTCTTACACCTAAAGATAGAAAACGTGTGTTTTGATTGTGGTGGTCATTGAGTGAATGTGTACATTTGTCAAATTCATTGAACTGTTCAAAAATTGATACATGTTACTGTATGTAAATTTTAGTTCAATACATTTGATTTTTAGAAAAATGCAACCGAGTTAAATCTCCAGGGTAAGTTTAGCTCTTCCTCTGTGACTTGCTACCCACCTGTAGCTACAGTGCAGTAGGTCCCAAGGGTAAGGAAGGCCTGAGCTAATATGTAACAGAATGGATACCAAGTTGGGTCAGGTATCAGAGCCACCATAAATTGTTTCTGGGCTGAAGGAAAGGCATGTGGGTTTCAGTCTAAAAGAAATAGGAAAACACCAGTGACGAACAGTGGAGATACTGAGATACTGAGGTGATCAAATTCTAGATACATTCCAGAAGCATCTCTCTGAACACTAATTGTTAAATTGTGTGTAAACTGTGAGGGAAAGGTCAAAATAAAGATGCTTCCTCATTTTGAACAGAACCATGGATTGCGACAAATTTGTGGAGATGAGAAAATTTGGTGGGGAAAAGAGAGAAAGTCAGTGGTTTTGTTTCAGTGATGTAATGTTAGAGGTGCCTACTATAGGTATCCAGGAGATAATGGCTACATGAGGGGATATGTGAGCCTGGAGTTCAAGGTAGAAATAGAGATTGGAGAGACAAGGGTCATAAACATTTTTATAGAATGTATAATAGTACATGGTATTTGAAGCAATGGAACTGGATGAGGCCATGCAAAAGTTAATGTTACAACTTAAACAGATTTTTAAATCACGTTTCTTGATTTTTAGTGAAAAAACTGAGACTTGGGAAACAAATTTAATCCCAGATCACCAATCTTTTTGGAATCTAAGCTGGACCAGAATCCAGGCATCTGATATCTGACCAGAACTCTAACTCCCCTTTAACACATTGAAGTGACCATCCTGACTGGCTTTTTACTCCCGTAGTATATTTATGCTAAGTTCACAGTACTTCTGTGTCCCAGAAGTAGCAACGTTTAACTATTAGCACAGGTGAAAGTAGTATAGGCACACCTCCTTTTATTATGCTTTGCTTTAATGTGCTTCACACTGTTTTTTACAAATTGAAGGCTTGTGGCCGCACTGTGTCAATCAAATCTATTGGTGCCATTTTCCAACAGCCTCAGATGATGCTTTGCAGTTTTCAGTTTTTTGTTGTTTTTTTTTTTTGGTCTTTTCCTCCTTTGGACTCAAACTGAAACATTGGCTCCTCTTTGGGTCTCCCACCTGCTGGCTTTCAGACTGGAACTTATACCACCAGCTCTCCTGAGTCTCTTGCTGGATTTCCCAGCTCCATAATTTCAGGAGCTAATATGTATCATCTACCTAAAGTAAATGTTTATTTTTGCCCTGGCTGACCTGGCTCAGTGGTGTGTCTGCCCACATGCCAAAGGGTTATGGGTTCGATTCCTAGTCAAGGGCACATTTCTGGGTTGCAGGTTCTATCCCTGGCAGGTGTGCGGGAGGCAACCAATCGATGTGTCTCTCTCCCCCCCCCCCTTTCCACTCCCAAAAAAAATCAATGGGGGAAAAAATAACTAGCCTCCAGTGAGGATTAACAAAAAATTACTAAAAGTTTGTTTTTGTATGTCAATAGTGTGAACCAATGGTTATTGGTGCCAATTCAATGCCAACAGGAATCCTCAATTTGGCATGCAATGAAGGAAATTTTATTTAGTGCCAACCAGTCAATGGTAATCCAGCATGGTTGTGAAAACAGCACTGCTGTGGAACAGCTCAATAGTGCTACAGTGCTGCACGGATGTGAGGCTGCTCTGGGGACAGTGCCCTCTTCGCTAGGCAGCTCCACTCCGCAATGGTCCTCTGCTCTGCCCTGCTCTGCACCAGTCTGTACTGCTCTGTGCCAGTCTGCTCTGGTGAGACATTGGTGTTTAAGCTCCAGCTGGAAAAACAGTCTTCAGTCTTCGGTGGAAAGTGCACTCCTATAAAGTATTTTTAAATTAGGGTATGTACAGTGTTTTTTAGACAATGATATTGCACATTTAATAATCCACAATGCAATCATAACTTTTATGTGCACTGGGAAATCAAAAAATTCTTGTAACGTGCTTTATAAATATTCACTTTATTGTGGTAGTCTGGAACCAAACAAGCAGTATCTCCAAGGTAGGCTTGTAATTACAGTCCACTGTATCTCCAGTACATTACTTTTAACAAACTGCCCTGGTTTCCAAAGCAGATGTTGATTCTAATTAACCCAGTTCCGAGTATCTCATAACTCTCCTGCTGTTTTTAGTACCAACTGTGATGCACACATGTCCATTTACACAACTAATCTAAAAAGCTACTGATCAAAGATGTCACCTCTCAACCACCATCCTCATCAATCTAGTTTTAACCCATATACATATCAAGTCCCTGAAATTTCCAAATGGGGCCTTTTTGTTTTTAAGAAACAAAAGAAGTGCCTAGCTGGCGTGGCTCAGCGGTTGAACATCGACCTAGGATCTGGGAGATCACGGTTCGATTCCTGGTCAGGGCACATGCCCGAGTTGTGGGCTCGATCCCCAGCAGGGGGCATGCAGGAGGCAGCTGATCAATAACTCATCACTGATGTTCCTCTCTCTTCCTCTTTAAAATCAACTATATATATATATATATATATATATAAAGAAGTAAACATGTCTAATTGAAGACTACTAGTGTCTTCCCAGAGACTGGGGGGGGACATGACAAACCAAGATGCTTTCCAATTGTGTAGACACTAGATTCATTATAAAATCCAGAAAAAAATGTGTGCCTATAATCTTATCCTAAGTCATAGAACTAGATTTAAATTATTATACTTATTCTACATTATTCTGGTTCAAAATAAAGTGACAAAAAATGAAAATTTCCAATTCTGAGATGGGTAATAAAAAATTTTTCATTAATAAAAAATAAAGATTTTATAAATACCTTCTAATTTCACATGTATGAATCTTTATGTTGTTGTTAATCCACACCTAAGGATATTTTTTTCATTGACTTTTTAGAGAGTGGAAGGAAAGGAGGGAGGGGCAGAGAGACACACATCAATTGGTTGCCTCCATCATGCACCCTGATCAGGGCCAGCGATCGAACCTGCAACCCAGAAATGTGCCCTTGACTAGGAATCAAACCCAAGACCCTTTGGTGCTCGGGACGATGCTCGAACCACTGAAACACACTTGCCAGGGCTCACATGTATGAATCTTAATCCATTCTCCCATTACAATATTTGTACTGGAGTAAGAATTAAGACACCAGCTCAACAAGAAAAGATATAATTAGCTACCTTATTTGGTCCTTATAAATTAAAATGTGCAGATTTAACATTAGACAATTCAGTTTCTTTCATTTTATTTTTAAGATGGCTCCATTTCTCAGGACAGAACAACACAAATACAAGATGCAGTCCCCAATTACAAGGGGCTGGCTGAGACCATGTTCCTCTGCTCCCTCAAAGCACTAGCTCAGCCCCCCAAAGAAGAATTACAAATCTGAGCAGTTAGGGAAAGGTGTACGCTAGGGATTAATTAAACAAGAAGAATCAGTTAATGACACTGGTGCCCTATTTTTCACATCAGTATTAATACAAACTCAACCCTTTAAATCAGAGGACCTGCCATTCCATTCCTAATCAAGTAGCTTTACAATCCTTACAAAGTAAAAGAATTACATAAAGGTGTAAACTGATTTGCCTCCTTTGGGACACTGAAATATAGAAGAGAAACCGGTTTTCTGCAAGCTTCTCCTTCTGAGTTCTGCAGTCTTCACGGTACTTCAGAGCTCCAATATTCAAGCAGTTCATGACAAAAGATAAAAGTGAAAAAGTAGACACAGAGATCTGTGAAAACTTCGCCCATTTTGCTGTAGGTATCCATTGATCGATTTATCACTTCGGCAGGAATTCCAGATAATAGAAGTGCTGCTGTTAGTACTGTGGTCTTTATCTTCTTTTCACCCTACACACAGAAAGACAAATAAATCTTACAGCTTTCAGAAGACAGCTTAAACTCTATAAAAACGTTATCAGTGTTATTTTTGCCTGATTTCAAAACTGTTAATGGAGTTTCAAAATATCGATCAATAATATATCAAAGAACATTTACTGAGCATATACTATGAAAAGCAGTAAACTGCTAAGCAGTAAAGAGAAAGATACCGTTCTTGCTATCAAAAGTTAAAAAAAGATAGGACATAAATAAGTGCTAAATGAATGACATGGGCCCGGCCGGCATGGCTCAGCCGTTGAGCGTCAACTATGATATTGGGGTTCGATTCGGCGTTGGGGGCACATGCCAAGGTTGCGGGCTCAATTCCCAGTGGGGAGCCTGAAGGAGGCAGCTGATCAATGACTTTCTCATCACTGATGTTTCTCTCTTTCTCTCTCTCTCCCTCTCTGAAATCAATAAGGACATTAAAAAAATAATAAATGAATGAAATGGATAATGTGTGTCACAGTGGATCAAAGGAGATAGAAATCACTCCAGGGTTTTATATATAAATAAAGCACAGGATTTCAGGAAAAAGGGGAATTAAAAACAGGCAAATAAGAAGTAGAAATCTGATTGAAAGGTAAGTCTCATGACAACAAAAGTCAGAAAAGTGACAGGTGTACTGGAAGACAGTGAGTAATTTTGTAACAGAATCATAGGAACATTCTTTAGAGCCCTAATTATCATGCAAAGCAACTCACACTTGATAATACATGCAATTGGATATCACCAAACATTTATTTCCTAATATAACTTTCTAGTTTCATTTTTTAAGAGATTCAAGGCTGAATTTTCATTTAATTTACTGATTTGATATCACCAAATCCAGTCACATGATTCAAAAATTTTAATAATATAAATAGCTATAGTTACCCAAGAGAAATCAAAGCCTATGTCCATAAAAAGAATAATGCAAGAAAATTATTAACTGCTTTAGTCATAATAACCAAAAACTGGAAACAAACAAGAAGACTATCAACAGATTAGACAAATAAATGGGTATATTTATACAATGGAGTATTAGTCAAAAAAGGGGGGAAATAAATTAATATATTCAATAACATGGATTACCAAAAATACTACGCAGAATAAAAGAAGCCTTCTACAAAAATGTATGTACAGGAATGATTCCATTTATATGAAGTACTAAAACACAAAAAAGTAATCTATGGTGGGAAAAAGAAAATTTTGACCTTCAAAGTGTAGGGGCTGGGACTGAGGCTGCCTGGGAAGGGGCACAATGGAATTTCCTGATAGTAATGTTCTAAACCTTGAAAGAATTTGGGTTCCACAGGCTGTCAAAACTCATTAAGTGGTACACTAAAGACTTGAGCAAATCACTGTATGAACACTTTACCATAAAGAAAAGAGCTAGCTGGTGTGGTTCAGTGGCTGAGTGTCAACTCATGAACCAGGAGGTCACAGTTCAATTCCCGGTCAGGGCATGTGCCTGGTTCAGGCTCAATCCCTGGTGGGGGCCGTGCAGGAAGCAGCCAATGGATGACTCTCTCATCATTGATGTTTTTATCTCTCTCTCCCTCTCCCTTCCTCTGAAATCAATAAAAACATATTTTAAAAAAAAGGTTGCCATTTCAATTCCAGGTCAGGGCACATACCTGGGTTGCACGTTCAATCCCTGGTCAGGCACAGAAGGCAACCAATTGATGTTCTCGTTCTCTCTCTCCCTCCCTCTCTCTCTCTTTCTCTCTCTCTCTCTTTCTCTCTCTCCTTTCCTTTCTAAGCATGTCCTTGGATGAGGATTGAAAAAAAAGAAATGAGACCAGTTGCTGTGGCTCAGTGGACTGAGCGTCATCCCAGGCACCAGGAGGTCACCAGTTCCATTCTCATTCAGGGCACATGCCCCGGTTATGGGCTCAGTTCCCAGTAGGGGGCGTGCAGGAGGCAGCTGATCAATGTTTATCTCCCTCTCCCTTCCTCTTGATCTAAAAAAATCAATTAAAACATATTTTAAAAAAAAGAAAAAGAACCATAAACAAACACTAAATTGTAATGATATGTAAGCTGAAATGTACAGGGCTAAAGTATATTGATGTTGCAACAGCATGGATGGACCTGGAGATTACACTAAGTGAAATAAGCCAGTCAGAGAAAGACAAATACCGTATGATTTCACTTATAGGTGGAATCTAATGAATAAAACTAACAAAATAGAATCAGAGTCATGGATACATGATGACAGATGTCAGAGGGGAGGTGGATGGGGTGGGCAGGATGAAAAAAGGTAAAGAGATTAGCCAAAGAACATGTATGCATAACCCATGGATGCAGACAACAGTGTGGTGATGGCAAGAGGGGGCGGGGTGGAGGTAGGCAAAGAGGGAGAGAATAGGGAACATCTGTAATGTCAACAATAAAAATAAATATGTTTTTAAAAATGGATAGAAAACTGGATAAATATAATGAAATCTTAATTATAGGATCTAGCTCATAAGCATAAATGGGTGTTACCTGCACAATTCTTTCAACTTTTCTGAGTATTTAAAAAATGTTAAAACAAAATGACTTTTTATTTTTAATTTTATTTACTTTTTTAAAGACAGAGAGACTCTTTTTTTATTTGAGAGGAAGAGGAAGGGAGAGAGTGAGTGAGTGAAACATTGATGTGAGAGAGAAACATCGATAAGTTGCCTCTGACATGCGCCCAACTGGGGATCAAACCTGAAACCTGGGTATGTGATCTGACAGGGAATCAAACTCACCACTTTTTGTAGTATGGGACAATGCTCCAACCAACTGAGCCACACGAGACAGGGCTGTTTTTTAATTTAGTGATTTTGTCAAGGAGAGAAAAACACTGATTTGTTGTTCCACTTATTTATGCAGTCATTGGTTGATTCTTGTATGTGCCCTGACTGGGGACTGAACCCCGAAACCTTGGCATATTGGGATGACGTTCCAACCAACTGAGCTACCTGGCCAGGGCTCTACCAGAATTTCTTTACACATATATAAGCAAAATCAAATATCTATATTTTCTTTCCTTTTACAAAAAAGAAGTATACTGTAGAGCCTACTGTGTATTTTGATTTTTTCTCTTAATATTTCTTGGCAAACTTACCATTATCAGAACATTAAGAGCTTCTGAATGGGTAGGCCATAACTTTTTAACTAGCCACTTATTAGTAGACATTTAGGTTGTTTTCAAACTTTTGCTATTGCAAAACTACAATCAATGTTTCAAAGGTAAATTTCTAAACAAACGCTTTTATTACAATTACACTTTTAGAGCATTTGAGATTTTGCTTCCTAGTATATGTTGCCAGTTTGACTCATATAAACTCTTATAAAAATTTAAAAAAAAATTAAACTTTTGAGGAACTTACTAGCTTATTAACTATACATCTGTATCATCAAAAATTTTTTAAATTAAAAATAACATTTCTTTTACTCCTTTGCGTATTTGACCTATTTGTCCCCTTAAAAATATAATGTTTCAAATCCACAAAAAACATATGAGGCCTATCAGTAGATTACAAATCACTAAGCAAATAGCCAAGTAGCCATTTCTCACCAAAAACTCAATCACACAAGTAGAATTATCTTCTATGCCAGCCAAGTCAAGTCACATAAAACTATGTATATACATCTGTAGTCAAGCGGACCAGGTAAACACTGACACACTCCATGATTCTGTTCTGCAACTTTGGCCAAATATCTCTTGTAAATATCAAGCCCTTGGCATTAAAGACCATGTGCATTATTATTAAGTGTTCATTAAGGAGCACAGTAAGATAACAGAACCTATTTTACTTTATCATAAACAAAATGTATTACTAAATCTTTACTAATTAAATTGAACACTTGTATATGCATACTACTCAAAGTCTGTCTTGAGATTTCCGCTCCCTCCAATTCATGGTGGACCAACATTTTTGTAAAATATGATAAAATGTTATGGCAATGTCCAATTGCTATAAAGTGTCTAATTACTCACTTTCTGAACTTAACTCATTACAAACAGAAAAAATAGTTTGATTGGTGCTACAATCAAACTACACTTTGACTAGCACTGATTCAGACCATAAGTATGACAAATTTGTTAAAAGTTCTTAAGATTATCTAGTCATTAATCAATCTAAATATATCACCACAATTTAGGAAAAAAATGTAATTTACCTTGGGAAAATATTTGTATAGTCCCATATATGCAAGTTGTAAAGTAAGAAATGGAGCAAATATAGACTGTGAAAATAAAAGATACAATTATATACTTCCAACGTAATCATTCAAATCACAGTAAGTCAAACTAACAGCAGCTACAAATTCCAAGCAAAAAAAACTAATATTTAATTCTAGCAGTTGAAAGCAATCTTGTTTCTGCAGAAGAGTAAAGAAAATAAAGGGATTTAATTTATTATCATAAACATGTTTCTCAAGTCAACTTACACTCTTTAATGTCCCCAAAAATGTCTTCCCTCATAAAAACTTACCTTTTAAAAACCTTAAAGTATTCAGTGGCGACAGCTGTATAATACATCATGCAGTACCATCTCTCTCATCCGGAGGTAATTTACTGACAATTTGAAAGCCCAGAACATAAAAGGCCCAGTACTCAAATTAGATGCCCATACATTCCTCAGACTTTGGGGCAAGAAATTAACTCATGTAACTACATCTCAAATGACGAGCTATTCTTACTAAAGATAAAATGGCTTGGTTATCTTGCTTCTCACACAATAAAATTAAAAAGATCAAAATAATACTTAATTTACATTTATGTCTAAAATTAAAACTATTATAAAGGGAATGAAGGAGCAAACATTATTAAATGGAAATATAGTGAGAGCAGTGAGAAATAACAGTTAAAAACCAGAAAGCCAAAAAAATTCACATAAAACGAGCACAAAAATAGCACAACTTTAAAGCATGAAAGCACAGAGCCCTTTAAGGTAAGAGAAAAAACAGCTACACATCTCACTAAATACTGAAAGTTATAATTTTTCATCAGGAAAAAGAAAAATTAAATTTGTTCAACATATTCTCTTTAAGATTCACATAAAAGTAGATTTTTAAATACTTTTTGTGTAACAATATAAACCATAATTATCTAGAAAATTTACTTATGTGCCTAGTATTTGATATTCTTAGCATGCTAACTGAATGGAAATATCTCAAAGAGCAAGACACTAAACTATTAGAGCTATGCTATTCTTCATTCCTCCACATACTGTAAAACAAAAGGACCAACAAATCCAAACTTCTGACAGCCATTGGCACATGAAGGTATAGCAAAATGGATGGCATTTTTATAACACTCCATCATAAAATGCTGAAATGCCTTCTGAACCATAAAAAAATGACATAATGTTCAGGACCACAGAACTGTATTTTAATGCTTAAAATTATTTGAAAAGTGGTAAAAGATATAGTATATGTAGGTACTTTACCCTTTGGGTTCAGAACGAAACTGCCTGGGTTTAATCCCAGCTGTCACTTAGTAGCTGTGTGACCTTGGGCAAATGATTTAACCTCTATGAGTCTCCATTCCCTTATCTATAAAACAAAGATTCAAAGGATACTTAGCTCATAAGGATGAGGTTAATTGAATCAATATATGTAAATCACTTAGAATGGTACCTACATGTAGAAAGAATTTAGTAATTATTACTAGGCTCTGTATTTAACCAGAATGCCTCACCCTGTAACTCAGGTGAATAGCAATTTATAACACATCTCCAAATAGCCCTGTGAATCGGGCAAATATTAAGTTAATATTGGCAATGAATACTATGGATTAAAAACATCATTATTATAACTAATTTTTATTTTCCATTATATTTCTTACCAAATATTTGCAAACAAAAGCTCTGACTCCAAGGGCAAGAAGAGCACATCCCACCAATCTAAATATTCGGAAAGAGTCAAATTCTTCTGTTGTATTTCCATCCTCTTGATTGGGTTTTTCACTAATCAGCTGTTTCCTTAGCTTCATTGCTTCTTCAAATCTGGACAGGTACTGTTCTAGGCCATGGCGAGAACCCCTCTGGACAGTGTCTGCTGTCAGGTCCCCTCTGTTCCGCTGCCGGAGCTCAAGGCTTACATCATTACTGCACTCAGGTGGTTTAACGAGAGAGTCCAGTTTGTCTCCCAAATCAGTCCCCTTTACCTCCGCCACACCACTCTGCTGGTCAGTTGTTCCTGTACTGACCGAATCACCCAGCACCACTCGCTTTGAAACTGAAGGAATCGTGAGGGAGTTCAGTTTGTCACTGTCTTGTTGCTTTGATTTTGTTTGACTTTCTTCTTCTGAGAAAAGAAATTAAGAAACCTTATGTATTACATAGAGGCAAACACATTTCAGAGTAATATTAAAAGTGGCACTGAGCTAGAACTCTGAATCTAAATTAATCCTGATTCTGCACAAAACATAAACTGGTTCCTTCCTCTAGACACTCAAAATATATCACTGAAGAAGAGCGTCCCTGCAGAGAATATAATCCAAACTTTGGGGGTAAAAGGCTAGTAAGCAAATTGGGAAAGATAGGCAGGGAGAGAACAAGCTATAAAGACCAAGTTTTCATGGATAATACATACTTGGTCAAAAACAGAAAATTATTAAAGCTTTTTAAAATATGTATTTTAATATTATATTTCTGAATCCAGGGTCCAATCAGCACAGGGTGTGGCATATCCTACAGCTTCTGTTTACGTAATCCTTCTACAGTCAGGGAGCCATTAGTAGGGACTTAAGCCATTTTAGGATGCTGTTCTGGTTTAAAACAAAACAAAACATGAAGACAGATAACATTTTCAAAGCAAAAGAACAAAATATGAATGTACCTCAAGAAAGACAGTAAATGCTTTGGGAAAGAATAAACATTCTATTAATCATAAGGGAGAAATAGTTTTGTAACTATTGTTCTAGGAGGATTTGAAATAGTTCTCTTACCCTCTCTTGGTAGTTTTCAGCTGCAAACCTACGAACTGTTAAGTTCAGAACTATACATGTTATCTACAGCCTCACCAAACAAACGTCACAAAGATGTTGCAATCAATGACTAAAGGCAACACTCAGTGGAAAGTTAGGGAACACCAGCACATACTAGATGTTCAAGAAATATTCACATAAAATAAACAGTCACAAAAAATTTAAAGAAACTCATTGTACATGGGGAAGAAATGAGGACCTCTCCTTAGGGTTCAAGGCAGTTGCTGACCTCAATCACATCAATCTCAGCAGTCTAGGAGAGACCTCTCTGGTGAGGTCGCTCCAATTTTTTTGAAGACCTGTGGATGACAATGCTGAGGGCATGACACAGACCCTAAGAGTCCCCGATCCACGCAGAAAGGACTAGGGGGCAGTTCAGTAAAGACAAGCTCATGGGGGCCGACAGTTATAGCAAAAGGCAAAAGAAGGTAGACTCTAAGGAAGGCGCTGTGAGGGGAAGCGTTTGGCACAACAGGCAGAGCGGTCGGCCTGGGGATAAGATGTGCGCCTTTCCAGGCGCAGCGGCGGGGAAGGCAGAAGGGGTCTTCTCAGGAAACTGGGCAGAGGGCACCGAGGCCGAGGGGCTCTGGAGCGAGGGCTTCGCAGCCCGCGGCGGGGGTGGGGCAATCTCTGGGCGAAGCCTCGGGGAAATTGAGAAGAGCGACTAGAAGGGAGTTAAGAAGTGAGAACTTGGGACATTACCTGAAGAGCGGGGACAGAGAGCAGGGCGTGGTCAAAAAGGTCAGCGGGGTGGAGGAGGGAAAGAAGGATCCTGCAAACTGAAGGGGTGGGCGGGACACCGAGGGGAAAACGGAGGTTCTCACCCGCGCCGCCCCCGGGCCTGTGAAAGCCCATGATCCGGTTGATGCGCTGTTCCGAGTTCATGAGCAGCTTTCTCCGCCGCAGCTCGGCCCGTCGCTGGGAAGCCGACAGGCCTGCGCCCACCGGGGCCCCCGGCCGCTCCCCGCTGTCAGTGGCGCCGGTCACCGGCTCCATCTTCCCTTCCACAACCAGGGAGTGGCGATGGTAGAGCTGGTGGCGGCAGCGGCCGAGCAGATGACTTCAGGCCCGGCCGCAGGGCGCGCGTGCCCCTCTCACTGTAGACCCGCCCCCCAGCGCCGGGCTGGAGACTGCGGGCCGAGCACGCGCACGGCCCGACTGGACCGGGCGGAGGCTTGTGCCGCCATCTTGAATAAGGGCAGGGAGGACTGCCCCAATTCCTCCCGCTTGGGCTCGCCTTCACCGTTCCTCCCCCCTGCCATCGGGCCTCTGTGCTGTCCACAAGGAGGAGAAAACTGGCACCCAGCCTTACTAGCGGGAAAGGAATGGCAGTAAGAACTACACCATCCATCACAGACTTGGTGCCAGGAAGCAAAATGGAGGTTGCAGCAGCAGGCACTTGCTCCCACTGACCTTCTGTCGCGTCGCTTACGCGAGATTGCGTAACTCTGGGAGCGACGCTTTAGGGAGCGTGGCGTTTGGGATTCGTTCCTGGTGCTGCTACTTCCTCCTCGACCCGTCTTGTCCCGAATACGCCTGGTTTGTGCCAGTTTTTCCTCGCGACTTTGTTCAGGACTCCCAGGGAAACCTTCCCAGTCCAAACCTTGCCACCCTCTCACAATACAACCTATTCTTTATTTTAAAATAATTTTTCATTTTTTAATTACAGTTGACGTATATGCTCCAGGTGTACATAGTTATTAGGCATTTAATTTATGAAATGATCATCCCATAAATATAGCACTATTCTCTGTAACTGCCTTTTTCTCCTTAACACTTATAACCGACTCGCAAACTAAATTTATATGCTTATTTTATTGTGTTTTTCGGTGAAGACAAGCCCCGTGTTGCGGTCAAGGCTTTAACTTCTGGAACAGTGGGAGCCTCCGCTCAGCGGGCCCTGCACAGGCAGTGCTGACGGCCCGCGATAGTTTTAGGGGCCCAAGAAAATGTTTTTAATTTCTTTAAAAATCAGGAAAGAAATGTAATATTAATTAATATATGACAATACATCCAGCCTGGATTATAGTCCTTATTCTAACAGCCATAATACGCAATTTTGAATATGCTTTTATGGAGGAAGGAGGCCACGAAAACAAAGTGGCCTGGAGCCTCCAGATGCAGCTCAGTGATGACCAAGCGAATGAGTAAGTGAATGAGGGAGTTCAATCCCCCCTCAACCTATGCTGGGAGGCTGCAGAGGTTGAAGCAGCCTAGTGTGCCCCCCGTTATGAAGCCAGCTGCACAATCAGGTGCAAAATCCACAAAATCCCTCTTAGGTAATAAAATACTGTATTTAACTGTTAGTCATCTAACCCTGTCCCAGACAAAAAAGGAGTTTGAGAAAAAGGTGTAAAAAGCAAAATTTTTTTTAAGTCAACCATATGAGGAGCTCAAGTATAAACAACTTTGTGCCTCAAATTGCATGAAAGCTATCAACATGTCCTAGTTAATAATTTTCAAGTATTACCCCTGGCCTGTGTGACTCAGTTGGCTGAGTGTCCTCCCATGCACCAAAAAAGGTCACGAGTTCAATTCCGGTCATCAGGGCACATGCCTGGGTTGTGGGTTTGATTCTTGGTTGGCGTGTGTGTGGGATTGATGTTTCGCTCTCTTCCTCTCTCTCTAAAATCAGTAAAAATGTATTTTAAAAAATAATTTTAAAGCATTAAAAGAGGTTCTCATGCATATCTGTACAGGCCTACATCTCTGAGGCCCAGACTGTGTCCTTTGAAAATTCTACAATTGAAATGATTAAGTAGTAACAAATGTGCAAAACTTGATGAAATACAATCCTGAGGAGTCAAGGCCACATAACAGTTCCAGGATAAAAAAAATTTTTTCATTTGAAATTTTTTCTTTCATTTGAGAGAGACTGTAGAAGCCAAATGAAGAATTTGCTTCTTTGGATAGATGTGTTGGTGTATGATGGCTCATTTAGTCAAATAAGAATTAAAAGTGTCAAGGTGTCATATTACATGATTACTATTTCTGGGAAACCATTTCCCTGTGAGGTTTCTGCAGCTTATTAATTAAATTTACTAGTATTACTAGTATTATATATTCTCAGTGGAATATATGATTTTTTTGATAAAACATGTGCATACTTATAATTTTTTTTAATTTTTTCTTTTTAAATATGTCTACTGATTTCAGAGAGAGGGAGAGAGAGAAACATCAATGATGAGAGTCATTAATTGGCTGCCTCCTACACCCTCCCTACTGGGAATCCAGCCCACAACCCGGGCATGTGCCCTGACCAGGAATCGAACCGCGATCTCCTGGTTCATAGGTCGATGCTCAAATGCTGAGCCACGCTGGACAGGCCATACTTACAATTCTTGTATTATTTTTAATCCTCACCAGAGATTTTTTTTTTTTTTCCCCATTGCTTTTCAGAAAGAGTGGAAGGGGGAGAGAGAGAGAGAGACATCAATGTGAGAGAGACACATTGATTGACAAATGCCTCACACACTTGCCCTGACCTGGGCCAGGGATGGAGCCTGAGACCTTCAGTCTGCGGGCCAATGCAGTAAGCACTGAGCCAAACCACATAGGGCACAATTCTTGCATTAGTTTGTATCTCCCTCATTATAGACTTTACAAGGACAAGCCCATGCTTTTGTTTTTTAATTTACTACTTTGCCCCAAGCCTAGAACTGAGAGCACTAGATTAACTTACCCTGAATAGTTGCAGAAATTTTTCTTTTAGAGTGTCAAAACTTGACATTTTCAGTGAGTTTTATGTGTAATTTTAATTTGATCCTAGCATTGTTTAGGTAGGCATTACAGTGGTACCTTGGTTTTCTAATGTAATCTGTTCGAGAAGACCAAGTTCTGAAACATTCGAAAACTGAGGGATCAACAGCCTCAGCTGGGCCTCAGGATCTTGCCCCCAGCAACACCGTGTGGCATGTTTGACTTCCGAGGCGTGTTCAAAAACTGAAGCATTACTTCCGGGTTTAAGGCGTTCATAAACAGAAATGTTTGTCAACGGAGACGTTCGAAAACCGAGGTACCACTATATAATATAAACTGTAGATTCAAAGCTGAACAGCTTAAGTCACAAATGATAAAACCAGAATTCATTTTCTGGGATTAAATTTAGGTAGTAAATTCATGCTTGGACTTCTCTCTACTCCACACAGCAATAACATAAAACGTTTAAAATATAAAGGAGCCCAGCTGGTGTGGCTCAGTGGTTGAGCATCTACCTTTGAACCAGGAGGTCACAGTTTGATTCCCTGTCAGGGCACATGCCCTAGGTTTTGGGTTTCAGGCTTGATCCGCAGTAGGGGGCGTGCAGGAGGCAGCCCATCAGTGACTCTTTCTGATCATTGATGTTTCTATCTCTCCCTCTCCCTTCCTCTCTCTGAAATCAATAAAAACATTAAAAAATATATACATATATAAAGAAGAAGGAAAAATAGCTAGACTCAAAAACAAGAGAAACATCTCAGCAGTTCAAAGTATAGGAAACAAAGCATTGCAGAGCTGAAGTTGGGTGTTTGCTGGGCTGCAGGTCCAGAAGCAAGCAATGGTAGCGCATTCTATGGGTAGGAGGCACTGAAAGTGCTCCACATGACACAGGGACAAAGAGGCAAAAACTGCTTGAGGTCTGCCGTCCTCCAAAAATACTCAAAAGTCATTTGCTATCGACTCTCATAGCCTTGGACTTCAACTTTCTTTTCTTTTTTTTAATATATCTTTATTGATTTCAGAGAGAGGAAGAGGGAGAGAGAGAGAAACATCAATGAGAGAGGGTCATTGATCAGTTGCCTCCTGCACGCCCCCGATTGGGACCCAGCCCGCAACCTGGGCGTGTGCCCTGACTGGGAATCAAACCATGATCTCCTGGATCCTAGGTCGATGCTGAACTGCTGAGTCATGCTCGGCTGGGCTGGACTTCAACTTTCTAAGTAAGGAGGCAGAAGAAAGGGCAAACAACTGCACACTGTTGGTGACTGGAATGATGACATCCCCAAATCACTATGGGATAGGAGCTCTAAACCACCACCATAAGCCCTATGCAACTAGAAAAAAAACAGGGAGAGGGAAAGTATGGGCAGAGTGAGATAAGGTAAAGCAAAAATAAAAACCCTCCATTCAAATGAGCCTACAAACCCAAATTCTAACAAACATGAAGATATTTTAAAATAGTTTTATATGTCAATTATACCTCAATTAAAAATACATAAAGTAGCTGAGGATTTTCCAGAACTGAAGATAGTCAAGGATCTTTGGATTAAAGTGTGCTCTGAAAACCAAGCATAATAAATAATAAACTCAGAGTAGTGAAACTATAGATTATTAAGAATAAAAAAAAAAATCTTAAAAGCTAACATTATCCTCAAATAAACAACAAGTAGGCAGCCTATCAGTAACAAAAGGGTCCAGAAGTCAGTGGAGTAGTACCTGAAACATATTTAGAATAGGGGGAAAAAAACACCTTTCAATTTAGAGCTTGAAGTCTAGCTGTACTTAAGGAGTGAGCATCAAGAATTCAGTTTATAACTTCCCAGACAGTGACTTAGATTGAAAGCACCTTCAGCAATAGTTTTCTACTAGTGTGGATACACAACAGAGCACTGCTCAGTGATTGGCAAATTATTCATATTACTTTCAATAACTAGTCACTATATGTCAGCTCTTTCAATTAACTTTATTGAATAGCCAAATTGATTAAATTAGCACAGTTCAAACGATTGCATGGGTTACAAATGACTTTTTTTTTTTACAGGAATAAAACAGTGAAAATTACAAACTGTAAAAAGGAAGACAAATCTTGTCTCTAACATTTCGAGAAGCAAGATTTAACACAGCACATTGAAGATCCATACTTGAATTTGAGAACAAGAATTTAATGTTACAATATTATACACTACTTTACAAAATTAAAATTTCTATATAAGGATTATATTTGTAATAGTTAACAAAATCTTGAAATCACATTTGGTGGTCCCCTAGATAATAATAGCTGTTATGCATCTTTGATTAGAAGAAATAAATCTTTTATTTGAATTATTGTAAAACAGTCTATTAGACAATACATTACATTAAATTAAAATAATGAAATATATGCAAACTAAAATAAATGGTACAGCTTGAGTGAATATTAATATGTCAGACTTACAGAAATGTTATTTTAAAAATCCTAGAAATTAGAAAAATAGAGTACTTTTTTATGGTAGAATTGCCATGCTCAGATTTAAATACCAAGATTGCCCTTGTCTGTTATTTTAGTAGTTGTAGATCTGTAGAAAATTCAAGGATCTTTCATAATTTACAACTACGATAAAAAAAATATGGCATAGTGTAAATATTAGTTGCTTTACATAAAAAAGTAATACAAGATGAGATAAGTGCCCTACTGCAAAAAAAAAAAATCAAACTAAAAAACACATTCCATACTGCAAAAAATAATTGCTTAATATCAATATCTCCAAAAGGTTCATTCATTCCATCATTATCCAGAGAACAAATACTGTGAATCCTAACTAAAGTTATGTTTTTTATGACCTGGCTATTATAAAATTGTTCTAGATTGCACATTTTACACATCTAAAATAAATTTTAAAAGTAAATTTGTGAAATATACTAACAAAGCATGTAGTAATAACAACCATACTCACTTAGGGATGAAGTGAGGCACGAGAAAGATTATTGTCCCTAGAGCACAAACTTTTCCCTCCGTAAGATTCTTGACTACAATTAAGAAAGGACTTACAAATATCAACATTTAAAATTCACATTAAGAAGAGAATTTTAGTTAAGAAACATCAGTGCATAATGACTCAGTTTCTTTAAAAGAGGGAAAAATATAAATTTATTTTAATTTGCTACACTTTGAAAATTGCTTCCTCATAAATGAAGCAGCTTTCAAGAATATTTCCAGTTCAATTACCACTTGCATACTGAAAATAAACTGTAACACTGCTTAAGGGAGATGGTATCTTTATAAAACACAAACGATCATTCTCATCTGGCTGATAAACAGTAGTGTATATTCTAGTGGGACTTGCTTCTTTCCTATCCCAAAACAACTCAGTTAAAGTCAGCTCATGTTGCTGTAAACCTGATAGTTATTATTTCATTGGTGATCATATGAGACCAAGATTGTAAACACATTTTTCTAACCCATGAAAACAAAGAAACAAAAATCTTTTCATCAAGTATTACACATGAACATCTTTAAGAAGTTCATACAAAACAAGATGAAACTGGGCCAAACTCTTTTAAGAAATTCTATCACAGCACTTTAAATATACAGATGTATAATTTACCTATTTGTAAACAAAATTCACTTAATGGTTTTGACTATAATATTTCTCAGGCTGAATCAAAAAAGCAGTCTCTTGAGCATGTTCAGAAATCAAGTTTCTTTCATAACTTCAATATACTGGATATTTGTAATCTTAATATCCATAAAATCAAACAGCAGCAGTCATGCTTTAATAAGTTTTACTATCCAAGAATAAACATCTTATAAGCGGCTTTCAATTTAACTATTAAGCTGCTTAGAAAAATGTTACTGATGCATTTGAGACAGCATTTAAGAAAACTTTAATTTCTTTCATTCATACTCATTTCACCAATATAACAGTTTTATTACATATCATAGAGCAAACAAAACCCATTCAAAGGGTCAAGCTAAGGTTTCTCATCTCCCTATTATCACTGCCAGTCCTAACATATATAATGAAACAGCTCAGATTCTTTTCACTGCTGAAGATAGTGTGTCCAAGTCTTTTGCAGTCAATCAGAAAATGACTTAGTTTTCATCTCAAATGAAGGTGACTTTGTTCAAGTATAGAAAATACTGACAGATTTTAAAGCTTGACTGTTATTTTTTATTCTTCTTTTCATGCTAGACTAGAGTTAGTTTACTCTAGTTTTAGTATAGTTAAAAAACAGGTATGGGAGAATGGATTCTAGTTTTTCTATATACTATTTACTTCTGACATTTTAAAATTTTATTTTAGAAAGATCATTATCAATGGATTTATAACTTCCCTGCAACACCTAGTCTTGTGAGGTTTCAAATGTAGCAGCCAAAAATTCAGGAGAAAAAAAAAAAAAGAGAGAAATATACAATTGGAACACAGAAGTCTTTATTTTACAAAATGAACTTTGCCTCTGCAATATTGTCTCATCTTATTTCAATCCATAACAACTCAAACATAATTGGCAGCAAAGAAAAAAGATGTCTAATCATATGTAGATATATTCTGATTTGAAAAATACAGTATTTCAGAGTTGCATGTTTGATTCTCTGCTGTGGTCCTTTATTTGCTATAGTTTGTTGAAATCACAGTGAGAACATACAGTCATCACATCAGTCCACAAACCTAATAGAAAAGGAAGGTATTACATATTCTCGGGTATTCTGCATTATTGTGACTTTCCTTGGAAATAACTAAGTCAAATATCTTCATTTGTTCATTTATTCACTTGCTGTTGTATATGCAAGAGGAATTCATAATATGAAAATGCAGATTCTGTTCTGTCTTCTACCATGTTTTGAAGGAAATTTGCTTTCATTGGACTCTCATCCCTTAGGAATAAAAGAAAAGTATTTATATACATTAAATAAAATGTAATAGTAAAATAAACACTTTATTTGTCACAAGGCTTTTGACATACTTTTTACTAATAACTAATAGAGCATAATTTAGTAATATTTGAAAATTCTTCTTTTTCTTTTCTTTCTATATTCTAAACTGTTAACTTAAACAATAGGTCACATATATACATGACTCAAAACAAATCCTTGCAAGACCAAAGAAACTTTCACTATTAGCAAATGAAAAATTCAACTTACCTTATTATATAAAGTATTGGGAAGAATGGTCTTTGTTCTCTGAGCCAAGAGATGAAAGCTATTGTTCTGGCAGATTCTGGTGTATCAAGTTCCGGAAGGTCTGTCTATTAAACAAAAACCAACAATGTCCAACTTACTCTAATCATATCTAATGTATTATCTACAATGATTCTCCAACTTTGTCATGTACAGTAGTGCCCACTTACCCATGGGAGATACATTCCGTGACCCCAAGGTGATGCCTGAAATCACGGATACTGCTAAATCCTATGTTTTTCCTATATATACATACATATATACATATATACCTTCTCACTTAAACACTTTACAGCTTCTCTTTGGCATATCTAAATTGCCAGCATCACTGCTCTTGCGTTTTGGGGCCTTTATTAAGTAAAATAATGGGCTACTTGAACACAAGCACTCTGATACACTACTAGTTGATCTGATAACTGATATGACTGCCAAGTAACTACTGGGCAGATGGTATATACAGCGTGGCTACAATGAAAACGGGATGATTAACATCCAAGGCAATGGAGAGGGACAGTGTGGAATTTCATCATGTGACTCAGAACAACACACAATTTAAAACTTCAAAATTGTTTATTTCTGGAATTTTCTATTTAATATTTTCATACTGTGATTTACTGTGGGTAACTGAAACTGCAGAGAGCAAAATCACAGGTAAATGGGGGACTACTGTACAGGAATCACCTGGTGATCTTGCTAAACTGCAGATATTGATTTAGGAGGTCTGGGGAGGGCCTGAAATTCTGCATACTATAATTTTCTTTAAAAAAAAAAAAAAATCTATATCTATATCTATATCTTTATTGATTTCAGAGAGAGGAAGGGAGAGGGAGAGAGAAAGATAGAAATATCAATGAGAGAGTTGGCATTGATTGGCTGCCCTCTGTACGCCCCCGACTGGGGACTGAGCCCGCCATGCCCCCGCATGTGCTCTGACCAGGAATCAACCATGATCTCCTGGATCCTACGCCGACGCTCAACTGCTGAGCCACACCCGGCCAGGCTGCATACTATAATTTTCTAGTAAGGGGTGGGCAAACTTCTTGAAGAGCCAGAGGGTAAATACTTTAGGCTTGCAGGTCATTTAGTCTCTGTTGCAACTATTCAACTCTGCCACTGTTCCACTAAAGTTGCCATAGACAATACATATGTGAATGGACATGGCTATGTTCCAATAAAGGTTTATTTACAAAAACAGGTGGCAGGCCCCCTTGGGCATAGTTTGCTGAGCCCTGATCTAAAAAAACATCCTAACTCTTCATTTTATGACATTTAGAATTAACTGATTCATTAAGGCAGTTGTCACAAATATGACAATTCCTTATCTCCTCATTAAAATGTCTAGTCATTCAGATCAGTAGTTTTACTCAAAGTCTGAAAGCTAGTGCTAATCCTAGCTATAATCCTGACATATGTTTTAAAATACAAGAATTTCCTGCCTGGCCGGTGTGTTTCAGTGGTTGAGAGTCAACCCATACAGCAAGAGGACGCTGGTTCGAATCCCAGTCAGGGCACATGCCCAGGTTGCTGGCAGATCCCCAGTAGGGGGCGTGCAGGAGGCAGCCGATGAGCTGATGCTTCTCTCTCCCCCTCTTCCTTCCTCTCTCTCTAAAATCAATAAAAACAGATTTAAAAAAAAAATCTCCTAATAACTTCTATGAATGGAGTTAACCATGAATATGAAAAAAATGCTGATATAAAACACATATTCCAAAGTTGCTGACAAACTGATAGGGACTAAAAATATGACATTAAATAACACCATGCTATAATTAATTCTCACTTTTGAATTTAAAACTATCCAAATGCAACAGAGTTTAACAAATGCTTTCTCATGGATTATTTTAGTTACTCTTCCATAAGCAACATCATTCTTATTTTACACATAAGGCTGTTAGTTACTTGTCCAAGGTCACGGAGCTAGTGATAGAGAGAGTCCATTGTTACTCTCTTCAACAATCAACAGTGCCCGGCCGGGCCTGGTTCAGCGGTTGAGCATCAGCCTAGGATCCAGGAGATTGTGGTTGGATTCCCGGTCAGGGCACATTCCTGGGTTGTGGGCTCGAAGCTGATCAATGACAACTCTCTCATCACTGATGTTTCAACTCTCTCTCTCCCTCTCCCTTCCTCTCTCCGAAGTCAATAAAGATGTATTTTAAAAAAACAAACAAAATACAAACAAACAAAAAACAATCAATAGTAATCCAACTGACACTGATCACAAGTCTTTTGCTTGTCTAACAATTAGCTTAGTTCTTACTCGAAAGCAGCAATTAAAAGAACCCTGTCAAAGAAAAATGAAATCATGTACCCCAAACACAAAAAAAGCCATAACACTAATGCCAATTGCAGCAAGCTATTTCTTTTTTGTGGGGGCTTTCCCCACCATCAACTAAATTCATTACTTTCTCTGAAAAAATAGTATACTGTCAGACACATAAGAACAGATTATGTCATTAGGGTGATCACTTCATAAGTTATATAAATGTCTAATCACTATGTTGTACACCTGAAACTAATACAATATTGTGTGTCAACTGTAATTGAAAAATTAAAAAAATGACTTAAGATAAGTCCATGATGCAAAATAACCTAAAAATTGCTTTAAAACATAAAATGAGTATTTTCATTTGGAAGAGAAACAATCTGTGGGGACATTTTCTTTTTCGGAAAATGTTTAGTATGCTATGTTTTGAAAACAGGCTATTCACGTTTTGGCCACATTTGAAATGCCCTTTAAGTCTATTATAATCGCTGTAAAACAGTCTTACCATGGTCTGTGGAATTAATGCATAGCTTTGAACTCCTAGAACTTGACTGAGAAAATTCTGTCCACAATTTTTTCCAACCCAAAGCATCAGTACCTGGGGATAGAAAGAATATCATTTTGAGATGTAGTATAAGAGTGAGCTGTTAAGGGGGAGTGGAAAAAGGTATTAGCGGGTAAAGTGGGGATAAAGGGTGATGGAAGGAGACTTGACTTGGGGTGGTAAACACACAATACAATATACAGGGTGAGGCCAAAGTAGGTTTATAGTTGTGAGTATGCAAAACACAAAGTTTATTCTTGTATTTTATTTATAAACTACTGTATTATTTTCCATAGGAACTGTAAACCTACTTTTGCCCTACCCTGTACAGATGGTGTATGGTAGAACTGTATATCCGAAAACCTATATAATTTTATAACCAATGTCACTCAAGTAAATTCAATAAAAAAAGACTGAAGTGTTGACTCACCTTTACCACTGAGTATGGTTTAAAAGACCAAAATGATTGCCCTGGCTGGTGTGGCTCAATGGTTAAAGCATCAGTCCACTCACCTAGGTCTCGGGTTCAAATCCCAGTAAAGGGCATGTACCTGGATTGTGGGTTAACTCCCCGCCCCCAGAGGGGCGTGTGCAGGGGGCAATCAGTTAATGTGTCTTTCTCACATCAATGTTTCTCTCTCTCTCTCTCTCTCTCCCTCCCTCCCGTCCCTCCTTCCCTTCCATTCTCTCTGAAAAAGCAATGGAAAAAAATATCCTCAGGAGAGGATTAACAAAATAAAATAAAATAAAATAATTAAATAAATAAAAAATAAAATAAAATATAAAAATGATTAGTAAGTTTAGTGATATTATATAACCTTCAACTGAACTAATAATAACTACTATTTACCAAGATGAGACATTTTATGTTTGGTATGAAAGGATACTATAGAGGGAGAAGGTGGCTAATATAAAAATATATAGATCAAATAGCATATAATCGGTTCAGGAAGAGTGATATTAAGGGGAATGAAGAAGGTACAGAGTATGCAGACAGAAGGATCCGAATCAGTCAGACTACTCACAGAGCCTGCATCCATGAGAAAAGCTCCATCCCTGCTCAGTTTCTCCACTGAAAGCTGAAGAATAGGCGGCTGAGGTATAGTTCGATCATTGATGTTGAGTGCTCCCTGAGGAATTAAACAAAAAATTAAAGCTTTTAGATAACAGGTGATATGGAGCCACACTTGACCAAACATTTTATTTTATTTTTTAAATATATCTTTATTGATTTCAGAGAGAGGAAAGGAGAGGGAGAGAGAGAGAGAGAGATAGAAAAATCAATGATGAGAGAGTCATTGATCGAGCCCGCAACCCGGGCATGTGCCCTGACAGGGAATTGAACCCCGATCGCCTGGATCCTAGGTCAGCGCTCAACCGCTGAGCCATGCCCGGCTGGGCCAAACATTTTTTTATACAATTATTCATATTTAAATATTTAAAAAGATGAGGAAATATTTATCACTTATCAAAACAAAGCCACTGTAAAATCCCAATAAAGCCAAATTAATTTCTGATCTTAACTATTATTTTCAAAATTAATACAATAAATGCAATCAATATCCATGTATCCTGAACAGATAAATGACAGTAGTGACATAAAAATAAAGCTTGGAATTTAGTTAATAATAATGGCAGCGTGCATAGCTTGGGTCATGTGCATATCCTGAGGGAGGAATAAAAGTATAATACAAATGACATTTTAATAGTTTCTTCCAATTTGACATTTATTTATTGAAGCCAGAAATGAAAATTTTTCATTTATACCTGAGTTTCATACTGTCATCTGCACACAGACACAAACACACCTTTAAATACTCATAACTATTCATTTGTAAGCCCTCTGGCCTTAGGATATGTGGGTAGCAGGAGAGACTATAAACCAAATACAGCCCCATCAGAAATTTCCCCTAGAGGTTTTCTATTGTGGACTAAAAAAAGCGAGCCTTATGTTTCTCTGGTGGTGAAGAAGGGATGATATCAGTGGCTCTATTTTCTAGTCTTGTAGAGAAGACTGATTTAAAAGAATGAGGCAATACAGAGTCTGAATCTGGGCTAAACCAGAGACTAGCTGTACCCTAGCCTTTTCTGTGGTTTGTTTTTGGCCATATCAGTCCCCTTTCCTTCCTAAGCTTACACGCAACCAAAGAGTCCTGATAAATACACACTGATATGCTAATAGTGCTTGCTTTTTAATGTAAATATTATGAGTTTTTATTTCTTCTTCTTTCTAGTGATCTCCATATTACAGGCTTACAATAGACTGCATTTATATTTTCATGCTAATTGGCCAATTTTTTAACATGAGAAAAGAGTAGGCCCAGTTAGTTGAACTTGTCAAACACACAATTAATCTTGAGTTATTATTTCTGTAATACAAACTAATAATGTTCTCAACGGTTTTCATTTGCTAAAATTACCTCAAATTTCATAAGCAATTTTTCCTTTCATATGCAAGATATTCTAAATTCTTTAAATTTTTAAAGGTTTTAACCAAAATAGTACTTCCAACATATATATCCTCACTTCATCACAATTTTGGAAAGAAAGATTATGATTTAACATTTTTGTGCTTGGGACTTTAACTCAGGTAAACTTCCAATCAAGGACAAACAATGTTACAAATTAGATAAATATATATTTTTTTAATTTAAGAACACTGTTACACTAAGCATTGACCTGGGTGTTTAGATGTTATTTTGATTCTCTGAATACTCCTTTTAGATCAACTTGGTTAAATAAATAAATCATAGGTTTCTCTGGTCAATTTGACAATCTCTTAATTTACTTAGATCTGCGCTAGAGATTTGTCTTAAGCAACTTAAATAAAGACACTATTTTCAGGAGCTCCACAAAAACCAAAATTTCTTTTCACAGACCTAGCAAAGGAATAAAATAAAAAGCTTAAAAAACAAAAACAAAAAACCTTTCCTCATTCCTGCAAAGGACTTAATATAATTAGGTTTATAAACCTGCAAGTAAAAGCCATTAAAAAAATGAATTAATCTTACCTCATCTGAAAGATTGTCAACTCTATACAAATTGGGATGAGTTGTGAGCATAAGGTAAACCAAGGGCTGGTTTTTCACTTGACACATAGCAAAAATGCGTTCATCTAGACGAGCATTTGTCCCAGTCTGGAATGATTTCTGTAACAAAAAAACACCCCCACCAAAAAAAAAAAGGTATTTTAAAAATACATATAGAACTTTGCAAATATCAGTTGTTTAAAGATTATCTTCAGACAAAATTAGCAAATTTGTTGTTATTTCCTGAAAAACATTTGTATTTTTTTATGTTTTTATTTATTTCAGAGAGATAGAAACATCAGTGATGAAAAAGAATCATCCATCAGCTGCCTCCTGCATGCCCCCTACTGGGGATCGAGCCCAAAACCCCTGACCAGGAATCTAACCATGGCCTCCAGGTTCATGGGTCACCACTCAACCACTGAGCACCACCAGCTGGGCTGAAAAATATCTCTTAAGAAGTCACACACATGTACTAAACTGTGGCTATATCACCACCTAAAAGTCTTCAGAAATTAATTACCAAACCATAGCAAAGTCATTTGATCTCTCTGGTGTCTGTTTCCTAATCAGTGAAGTAGATCTAAACACTCTATCTACCATATAGGGACAGTGATATAAAAACAAACACCACCCCAAGAAGGATAAAGTTATTCTACAGATGACAAAATAAATATACATATGAAGAACCAAAGATCTAAGTGTTCTATAAATGCACAGTGATGATTAATGGTGGTTAACTATCCTTGTTTCTCTCACAGAGAAATTAAACAATGTACAAAGTTTACATATCAATCAGGAAAAAAAGTAATACAAATGAGGGCAACTACTTAGCAGAATAGAGTTAAGTAATTGTGAATTTTAACTGGTATACTAGCTTCATGGAGAATAATGAAGCTTTGAGGTAAGATTTTAAGAATTCCTAGTGATGGAAAGGAGTAGAAAGAGGCAGAGAAATAACAGTAATGAAACTATGCCTTAAAACAAGTGCACTGACTATAAACAAAGGAAGATTTAAAAAGACTCTTAAGAAATTTTAAATTGCATTGTGAATAGTCACTAGGAAAGAAAAAGTACTATGGGAAATGAAAGGAGGAAAGTTCCATTTATTCACTCAGAAAATATTTACTGAGTGCCTACTGTGCACTAGGAATGGTTCTAGGTGCTGGGAAAAGTGGAGAACAAAAAAGATCAAAATCATGTCCTCATGGACAAAAATCCAAGCAAGGGAGAAGTAAATAATAAACAAAATGTGGTATGTCAGTGTTAAGAGCTATGGTCCTTGCCCTCAGAAATCTTAGCTGGCAAAAAAAAGCTTCGTTAGCATAAAGTTATATATTTCTTGTTTAGGGGTTCACAGGGTAAAAATTCTGCCTTTTAACATCTTCACTGCATTAGTTTCTGGTTTTGATTCTCTTACCTGTTTAAGGAGAGCCAACACAAAGAGTGGAAAAAGTCTCAAAGAAAAAGGAACCATGAGTCCAGGCTGGTGGTTACTTAGGACTGATGAACGATAAGCTGAGAGTGAGTCTATGACAGCGTTCACCAGGGCATCCCGGGCATCACTCAGACTGGCAGTCACAGATCTGTCAACAGCTAATAGAGTTGGGGGTAGGGACAAGAGAAAAATTAAACAGAAGTTTAACTTCCAAACAGGATAGGAAAAAAATTTAGTTTTTATTGACTGATTTATTTTATTTATTTTTAAATATATTTTTATTGACTTTTTAGAGAGAAAGGAAGGGAGAGGGATAGATAGAAACATCGATGAAGGAGAAACATCATCAATTGGCTGCCTCCTACATACTCCCTACTAGGGATCGAGCCTGCAACCTGGGCATGTGCCCTGATCGGGAATCGAACTGTGACGTCCTGGTTCAGGGGTTAACGCTCAACCACTGAGCTACAACCGGCTGGGCTGACTGACTGATTTTAGAGAGAGAAAGAGAGAAACATCGATTTGTTGTTCCACTTATTTATGCATTCATCAGTTGCTTCTTGAGTATGGCCTGAGTGGGGACTGAACCCACAACCTTGGTGTATGGGGAGGACACTAACTACCTGGCCAGGGCATACATGCTTTCATAGCAAAGAGAATTTTTCTTATATTTAGTGAAAGAGCTCTTAGGGGATTAATTACGTTCATCATCTGTCATGCCACTCTGTTTATATGCTTTCTGCATACTCAAACATCTTTTTCAATACTAAAAACACTATACTTGTTTTGTAAACCTCTCAAACTACAACTAAACGCAATTCATGTGATGAATATACCCAATTAAGTGATGTTATTAATTGCTATGAGCAAATTTGTATACAGGCAAGAAAGAATAAAGACCATTGCTACCTGCTCAACAGTAACTCTAAGATTTCATCAATTTAAGACATTCTAATTTTAAAGATTTTTGATAAAATGTGGAAAAAAATGTGCATATTGGAATCAACCAAGTTTAGTAACAGTGAAGAAAACTGTTGTGAAGACCATTTTTTTTATAATCCTCACCCGAGAATATTTTTTCCATTGCTTTTCAGAGAGTGAAAGGGAGGGAGGGAGAGAGACAGAAACATACACTGACGTGAGAGAGACACATCAATGGGTTCACACACCCTGACCCGGGCTGGGGATTGCCTGCAACCGAGATAAGTGCCCTTAGCTGGAATCAAACCCAGGACCCTTCAGTCCACAGGCCTACACTCTAACCACTGAGCCAAACTAGCTAGGGCAAGACTTTTTTTTTTAATAAGTTTTTTATTGATATTTTATAGAGAGAGGAAGGGAGAGGGAGAGCTAGAAACATCAATGAGAGAGAAACATGGATCAACTGCCTCTTGCATGCCCCCTACTGGGGAGCAAGCCTGAAACTCAGGCATTTGCCCTGACCAGAAATCAAACCAGTGACCTCTTGGTTCATGGGTCAACACCCAACCACTGAACCACACCAGCCAGGCTGCTATGAAGACTTCTAAAAAAAAGAAATCCACAATACTGCCTGACAGTTATAGTTAGTTGATGATGATGATAATAATAATCGTACTGTTACTAAAAAGTATTAGTTTGCCTTGGCCAGCTGGCTCGATTGATCAGGGCATTGTCCCGTGCACCAAAAAAAGGATGCAGGTTCGATCCTGGTCAGGGTGTATATGGGAGGCAACCAATTGACGTTTCTCTCTCACATCAATGCTTCTCTCTCTCTTTCTCTCTCTCTCTCTAAGAAAATCGATGAAGTATGTCCTCAGGTGAGGATTAAAAAATAAATGATAAATAAGTAAATGAATAAAGCCAATTAGATCTTCAAATTTTTAAAAAGAGTATTAACTGAAAAACAAAAGAAAAAAAAGTGCAAGTTCAACAAAAAAATAAAGGCAGTGACCTTCAAATTACTTCAGTCATAATCTTTACTTTTAACAACATATGAGAAGACTAATGTATGGTTGGACCCTTTGCCAGGCTCCACTAAAAACAAATTTTCACAGTAAGATATTAAAGAAAATGGGTAAATATCCCAATTATAGGCAGATCTGAGTTTGAAGCAAATGGACCCACTGGCAGTTTTCCCTGAAGGAGAAAAACAGCAAGAACTAAAATGATGTTTAGCTCTATGTGTTTGAGAAAGAGACATAAATAAAAAAAAGGCAATAAGGCAACTGAGGTGAAGATACTAATAAATTTTCTGTAAGCCCATGGAATCTGGCAAAGGCTGCAGACTTATATGTGACAGTAAACTGGTTTGCAATCTCAAATTCCATCACTCCAAGTCTAATGATCTTATAGTACACTGTCTCTTATAATCCAAGTTACAGAGCTCATAAAAAAAGTATTAAGTACAAATAAAACAATTTAGTGTTGCCTAAGGCCAGTTAGGGAAAGAGGAGGAAGTGGGCGATAATTGTTAATGGGCATGAGATTTGTTTGAGAGTAATAGAAATATTTAAAAACTAGATTGAGGTGTTGGCCACACAACTCTGTAAATATACTAAAAACAACAGAATTGTCAACTTAAAATGGGTTAAGTGGCAGGGTATATAAATTGTATCTCAATAAGGCTATAGGAGCAGATCTTTTATTATAATAGTCACTTAGTAGGCATACATGGGATCCAAAACACTGAAACACTTAAAGCTAATTATTCAAATAAAGACAAAACTATGTGTCCCTGGCTAGCATGGCTCAGTGGTTAGAGCACAGCCTGCACATGAGAAGATCTCAAGTTCAGTCCCCAGCCCTGGTCATGGTGAATGCAGGAGGCAACCAATGGATGTGTCTCTCTCACACTGATGTCTCTCTCCTCTCTCTCCCTCCCCGCCTCTCCTTGCCTCCCTTCCACTCTCTAAAAATCAATGGAAAAAATATCCTCGGGTCAATATCAACAACAACAACAACAACAACAAAAAGACAAAATTATGTGGATTTTTCTCAGATTATACCCGTAAAATGTTTACAATAGGATAACAATTCTTACCCATATTGGCTAATAACCCTGAAATTGCTTGAACATCAGCTCCAAGAAAGACTTCATTCAGAGTTGAAACTACTGGTAAACACAAAGTATGAACACGAATTCTTCTTTCACCTTTGGAGAAAACACAAAAATGATAGTAAGAAACAACTATAAAAAGAAAGTTTATATTGCCTGGCCAGGAATCAGAGCACATGCCCAGGTTGTAGGAGTGAGGGGAGGTGGCTGATTGATGTTTCTCTCACATCGACGTTCCTCTCTCTCTAAAAATGAATATATATATATATTTTGAAAGTTTACATTAAAATCAGTTCTTTTCAATTTAAAACCAAATAAGGCTAAATAGTAAGTAGAGATAGTGTCAAAATTTTAATGTGAAAACTAAAATTTTATTCATTTTTTAATACAAATTCTTTTTGTTCAATTTATTGCTGAAAAGACAATAAGGATGGTATTCAAATGATAGTAACATGCTAGCTTTAAAAAAATCTCTTTTCTAAACTTCTTTGTGACTTTATCTTTTTTGTAATAAAAATATATGTATATATATAAACACATACACACACACGTATAGACACATAAGTATATATATACAACAACACTACTCCAAAATGTGTTCTTGAGTCTGTGTTTTGATGTTCAAAGTGTAGAGAGAAATCTTATACTTTTCTCTTTAATCATAGAAAAAATTAAAAGAAACTGACTAATAATCATAATACTTTCTCTTTGGTAATTTATCCACAACAGCAAAAGTCAATAAATGCAAGAAATAAAAATGAAAACCTTTTGACAACCATCAAATATAAAACATCATATCAACTTTTTAAAAATTTCTGAACACCAGAGAAAAAGAACAAAAAACTAGAGATGAACATTACAACCTAAGACTAATGAAAATGTACATATGAGAAACTCATAAATTTTAAAGAGAAGAAATATCTGCAAAAGACAGGTAACATTGTTTAGAGCTTCTACTCTAAATAAAAACAATGTTAACTAGCCCTGGCCTGGTGGCCCAGTTCGCTGGAGAATCATCCTACAGGTTTGATTCTTGGTGAAAGCCTATAACTGGGCTTTAGGCAACATTCGATGTTTCTATCTCACATCGATATCTCTGTTTCTGTCTGTCTCTGTATCGTCCTCGCTCTCAAAAATTAATAAAACATATCGTCAAGTGAGGATTTAAAAATATTTATATAAGATATCCTGAAAAAATGTATATACATACTTTGAATAATTATAAAGGCAGTGTTTATTAAAATACATTTCATTTTCAAAATTGAGCTATCAGCTATTAAAATGTGGATACATTTTTTTGGGACGCCCTGTGTATATATAAAAACAATGTTAACTAAAAGAAAAGAGATACATATTCAAACTATCACATTGGCAAATGAAAAAATGAACTTGAGGGAACTACAAATTAGTAAAATCTTTCTAAATAGCAAAATGGCAATACCAAGATTTTTCTAGACAGTTCATCTCTATACTCTATGCTTCCAATTCTAGGACTCCATCTTAGGGAAATTATTAGAAATGACAGATTTGGCCCAGCTGGACATGGCTCAACAGTTGAGTGTCGGCCTAGGATCCAGGAGATCACGGTTCAATTCCCGGTCAGGGCACACGCAACGGGTTGCAGGCTTGATCCCCAGTCAGGGGCCCGAAGGAGGCAGCTGATCAATGGCTCTCTCATCATTGATGTTTCTATCTCTCTCTCCCTCTCCTTTCTCTCTCTGATATCAATAAAGATATGGGTTTTTTTTTTTTAAAGAAAAGAAACGGCAGATTTGTATACAAAGGCATAGAAATTAAAATCACATTTTTCATAAAGTAACCTAAGCTTCTAAAATAAGAATATGAAAAAACACCCAACATTGGTTTTTAGGGAAACAAAATTAAACCAAAAGAGATAGCACTATAGTTTACTAAAATGGTTAAAAACAAAAACCTCAAACCAAAACCAACCAAACAAAAAAACTAAACACTGAAAACAGCAAATGCAGGTGAGGATGCAGAGCAACTGGAACTCTCATATGCTGCTAGTGGGAATGCAAAATGGTATGGCCACTTTGGAATCAATTTGGCAGGTTTTTAAAAGTTAAACATACTTACCATGCGACCCAATAATCTGCTTCCTAGGTATTTACCCAAGTGAAATGAAAACTTATGCCCACACAAAGTCAGTTATGTTTATAGGGGTTATATTTGAAATTCCCATAAACTGGAAATGACCCAAATGGACCTCAACTGAAAAGTGAATAAACAAACTGGGTTCAATGGACTACTACTCAGGAATAAAAAGTAACAAACTACTGCTTGGTACAGTAACAGATGAATCTTAGATGCACTGTGCTAAGCGAAAGAAGCCAGGCACAGCCCCGCCAGCGTGGCTCAACAGTTGAGCATCGACCTAGGATCCAGGCTATCATGGTTCGATTCCAGTCAGGGCACATTTCCAGGTTGCGGGCTCGATCCACAGTCGGTGTGCAGGAGGCAGCCGATCAATGACTCTCATCATTGATGTTTCAACTCTCTCTCTCACTCTCCCTTCCTGTCTCTGAAACCAATAAAGATATATTAAAAAAAAAAAAAAAAAAAGGCCAGGTACAAAAGGGTATGACTCCATTTGTATGACATTCTTTATTTTTTTTACTTCTCACCTGAGGATACTTTTTTCCATTGCTTTCCAGAGAAATTGGAAGGGGGAGAGAAAGAGAGAGAAACGTCAATGTGAGAGAAACATATGGTTTGGTTGCCTCCTGCACGTGCCTCAACCAGGGCCTGGATCAAGCCTACAACGGAGGTATGTGCCCTTGGCCAGAATCGAACCCAGGACCCTTCACTGAGCCAAACGGGCTAGGGCTGTATGACATTCTTGCAAAGGCAAAATTATAGGATCAGGAAACTGATCAATGGTTGCCAGGAGCTGGGGATGGGAGAGAGGTTGACTATAAAAACATGAAAAGAGTTGTCAGAGTTCCTTAAAAATTTTGGATATTAACCCCTTATCGAATGTATCATTGGATAATATCCTATTCAAAAAAAAACAAAACAAAAACCATCATCCCTGGCCAGGTGGCTCAGTTGGTTGGAGCATCACCCCATGCACCAAATGGTTGAGGTTCAATTCCTAGTCAGCGCACATACCCAAGTTTCGGGTTTGATCCCCAGTTGAAGAAGGTAGCCAATTAATGTTTCTCTCTCACTCCCCCTCTCCCTTCCTCTCTCTCTCAAATCAATAAAATAGCCCTACCCAGCTTGGCTAAGTGGTTAGAGTATTGGCCCGTAGACTGAAGGGTCCTGGGTTCGATTCCAGTCAAGGGCATGTACCTCCATTGCAGCCTCAAACCCCGGCCCCAGTCCGGGTGCATGCAGGAGGCAACCAATCGATGTGTCTCTCTTACATCAATGTTCCTCTCTCTCTTTCCCTTCCACTCTCTCTCTCTGAAAGGCAATGGAAAAAATATCCTTGGGTGAGGATTAAAAAAAATTTTTAAGTAAATAAAATAGTTAAGAAAAATAAATACCAAATATTTTTGCTTTACCACGAACAGCAACAAAGCTCTTGGGACTAGGAATACTCTTTTGGTTTAATAGAAATGACTAAATTACCTCCAAAAAAGAGGGAGTTTATCACAAGTCATGGAATACATGACCAAATAAAAAAAGTCTGCCTTTGTTACACTGTTCTTACAGTTAACAATACTGGACTATACACTTAAAAATTTGTTAAGAGGGTAGATCCCATGTTATGTGCTTTTGGCCATAATAAAAAAATGAACAACTCACCTTTGCTGGACGTATACAAAAGTGCTGACTGAAAAGAAACCAATTGAGTGTCAGTAAGACTCTCTTCCACTGACATCTGTACTGCATATCCAGCATCTGGGTTTACATTGGGCAAAGACAGTAAGTCTGTAGACCGAACAAAGAAGTTCCCATGGAAAGTATGAATGGAAAGACCTAGAAGAAAAAATTTATTAAAATTATTTATATACACCTACATATGGATATTTACATTTTATCCTAGTCACTTACCAGACTGACAGAGAATAAGATAAAAAGTTTAGATGTGATATTGTCATTTATAAAAGAAATATATATTTGGTCTTCACTGATTCTGGCACAGAGAATTTCCCAAGTAATGAGTGATAAAGGTGTCTTCTGCTATGTTAATGAGGTGACTTTTATTTTACTTATTATTTATTTTTAAAAATGTCTTTATTGATTTCAGAGAGAGGAAGGGAGAGAGAGATAGAAACATCAATGATGAGAGAAAGTCATTGATCAGCTGCCTCCCTGCACACCCCCTACTGGAGATCGAGCCCACAACTCAGACATGTGTCCTGACAGAGAAACGAACCTCAATGTCCTGGATCATAGGTCAATGCTCAACTGTTGAGCCACATCAGCCAGGCAATGAGGTGACTTTTAGAAAGCACCTAGAATATCTAAAGAGGGAAGGTGGTTGCCAGCGGAACCAACTATGTGATTAGAGGGTTGGAATTTTCAGTCCAGCCTCCTCCCCCAACACACATCTAAGGAAGGCAGAGAGGCTAGAGGTTGAATCCATCACCAAGAGCTAATAATTTAATCAATTGTGACTATGTAATGAAGCCTCCATAAAAACCCAAAAGAATGGGGTTCAGAGTTTCTAAGCTGGTGAACACTTGGAGATTTGGGGAGGGTGGAGTGCTCAGAGAGTATAGAAGCTTCAAAAGTTTCATACCCTTTCACTTTTCATATACCTTTCCCTGTGTATCTCTTCCATCTGGCCGTTTCTGAGTTATATCCTTTTATAATAAATCAGTAATCTAGTAAGTAAAATGTTTCTGAGTTCTGTAAGCCACTCTAGCAAATTAATGGAACCCAAGGAGGGGGTCATTGGAACTTCTAATCTATAGCCAGTCAGTCAGAAGCAGAGGCAACAACCTGGACTGAAAATTAGCTTCTGAAGTGTATGTGTGTACTGGGGAGAGGGGGCTGCGGGGGTCCTTAACCTGTGGCATCTGATGCTATCTCCAGGGGGACAGTGTCAGAACTGAGTTAATTGCTTGGTGGTATGGGGAAACGCAATCCATACACTGGAATTGGGAACAGAATGATACTAGATAATACACAGTATTCAGTGAGGGTGAGGGGGGTTAAGAGGAGGATTCAAATTTTCAAAAAACTTTTTTGAAGGATAAGTTGGTAATATCCACTAAAAATTCTAAATGAATACATCCTTTGTCTCTAGTAACTCCATATCTAAGAATTTATCCTACAGATACACTCACTCATTCAATAACAAATTATATGTGCAAAAGAAATCAAGCAGTACTGTTGTTTGATAACAAAACAATTAGAAATATCCTCAGTGCCATCAGTAGTAAAATAACTAAACTGTGATTTGTACATTCTACTGAATAGCAGTTTAAAAAAATGAGATAAATTGGCCCTGGCCAGGTAGCTAAGTAGTTAGAGCATCTTCCCAATACACCAAAGTTGTGGGTTCAATTCCCAGTCACGGCACATATAAGAATCAACCAATGAATGCATAGACTAGTGAAACAAGCCCTGGGTGGTGTGGCTCAGTTGGCTAGAGTGTTGTTCTGAAACACAGTACCAGCAAATGACCACAAAAGATTTATTGAATTAAGCACGCTAAAAAGAAGAAAAACTGGCCCTGGCTGGTGCTGCAATGGTTAGAGCATTGGCCCATGCACCAAACGATTCAATTCCCAGTCCAGGGCACGTCTGTGTGTGGGAGGCAACCAATCGATGTTTCTCTCCCTCCCTCCCTCCTGTCCCGCCCTTCCCCTTCCTTCCTTCTTTTGTTTTTTTAAAGGAAGAGGGAATGATCTTTTTTTTTTTTTTT